CTAACAAGATCCATCATAAAGCTAAGGTCTGCATACATGCATATAGCTAGCTGCTTAGCGTCCGCCAAGAGCAAGAAAGAAACCAATGCAAAAAAAAAAAAAGATAGATTTTTGATAACTTGGGACTCTTGAGATTAGCCTCAAGCCATAGCACCATGACCATGACCGCATGCACGGATGGATCGCCTGCTCCGCCGCCGCCTGGACCGGTGTGGCTGCGGCCTCGATCATCAACCGGTGCGGCCATGTCGCCGTGGGCCAGCTCGAGCGGGAAGGGGATGGCGGTGGCCGGCGCGGGTGCGATGGTAGTGGAGCGGACGGAGTCGTTGATCCGGGTGATGACGTGGGCGAGGCGGACGCGCCACCCTTGGAGGCGCGGTGGCGGTGTTGCCCGCCGAGGCTCCTCACAGTCTTGCTGCCGCTCCCAGTACTCGCCATCGGTTTCTTGCTCCGCTGCCGCTGCCGGTGCTCGCCGTCGGCATCTTGCTCCCGCTGCCGATGCTCGCCATCGGATCTGGGTGGGCTTGGGGTTTTCCGGGTTCTGGGGGCTTGCTTGGGGTTTTGAGACAGGGAGAGGTAGTGGATGGAGAGAATGAAGTGTCTCGTGTGTGTGTTCGTACGTAGTAGGTCCCGCAACAGCCTCAGCCTCAGCCGATCATCATATCGGTTCTGTTGCTCTTGCGTTTTGACGGTTGCTTGCTTTTTAGAAGCAAAATACAGTAGCTAAAAGCACGGGCGAGCAGCTTGCGTTCTCGTTTGGTCTCGATGAACACTTTGCCTCCAATGATGGTGTGGACGCGATCGGTTGGCTTGACGTACTTGTGACGGGGATCTGCGTCTTCATCATCGTCGTCCTCGTTGCGCTGTTCCCCTGCATCGTTAGGCTTGTGGGACGTATCCGAAGCCTGTTGACGCGTGTAGATAGACTTAGAACGCGGCAATTCTTCATGGTATGGTTCGACTTGGGGTGGAGCTGACAAGGTCCTTTCAATGCTTTGGCGTAGTCTTCTTCGTAGTTGCGACGTCCGCCACCTTTCTTAACGGTGTTAACCTCACCGTCGTCTTCCCGAGCACGCTTGCCCCTGTAATCGTCACGGCGATTACGCCGCTGATTACGCTGGTCGCGGTGGTCGCGGGGGTCGTTGCGCTGGTTGCGGCGATCAAAATTGTCGTTCCGACCACGGTTGCCGCGGTAGTCGTCGCGGTGTGGAGGGTGGTCGGAGCGTGGAACCCTTGTTGCTTCTTCGATGATTATCTTTTTAGCATCGTCGGCATCCGCATATTTCTTGGCAGTGGCCAGGAGTGCTGTGACTGATTCAGGTCTCTTGCGGAGGAGCTTGTCCCGTAGGGCATCGTGGAAGCGGAGACCAGTGATGAAAGCCTCAATTGCCTTGTTGTCGGAGATTGACGGGACCTTGATGCGCATCTCCGAGAAACGCCGGACGTACTCGCGTAGTGGCTCATCTTTCCGATCTCGAATCCGCTGTAGATCATATTTGTTGCCGGCTTGCTCGCAAGTAGCAATGAAGTTGTCGATGAAAGCTTGCTTGAGCTCTTGCCAAGAATCGAAGTAGTTCGCCGGCAAGCTGACCAGCCATTGGTGGCCTGCATGGCCAACAGCGACTGGGAAGTAGTTAGACATGACGTGCTCGTCAGTCATGGCTGATATGCACGTGGTTTCGTAGAGCATGACCCATAATTCGGGGTTCTCCTTGCCGTCGTACTTCTGAAGTTTTTCGAGCTTGAAGTTCTTGGGCCATATGACTTGGCGAAGGTGTGGAGTAAACTGCTTCAAACCCGGAGGACCGTGGGTAGTATCATATTCCATACGGCGATAACTTTCGTGGGATGCACAATCGTTGGCTCTTTGATTAATGCGATCGCGCAGATCGCGTTCTCCGAGGTAATGGCGGAGATCGTTATTGCCATCACGGCGATCCCGGTTGCCACCCTGAATAACCCTACGACCGCGGTTATCATGGCGATTATCGTGGTTGTCTCGGCGGTTGTCGTCCCGGTAGCCACGACGATTGTCGTCCCGACCACCATCATGACCACCGTTCCCGCCTTGACGGTTGCCTGATGGGTCGATGTTGCGCGAGCCACGTTGGTTGGGTGGCTGTGAGCGACTTGAGTACTGGCGGTTGTGGCTTGATTCGACTGAGACGGATGGAGCCCGGGCTTGATTTACATTCTCTGCGGTCTGGGCCATAGCAGCCGTCAAGTAAGCTTGTATATCATCACGAACTACCTGGGTTTCTGGGGTATTGGGTAGCCGTTGCATCGTCGCCATAGCAACAGCTACGTTGGCGCTTGGGGTCCTGAAGACCTGCTTGTCCCCCACCCAATCAAAGGCATTGTTAAGGTCGCGCAGCTGGACCCTTATGCGTCGTGCCTCTTCTTCAGCCTCGGCTTCGATTTGTCGGCGATTAAACCGGTCAATATTGCTTGCTTCGCGTGCTAGCCTTTCTTGTTCTGTTTCGCCGACAGCCGGTGGTTCGTCATTATTGACAACGTTGATCAAGTCTCCTCGCCTTGGTGGGAAGGATGGGAATCGTGAGAACCCCGGGGCGTGGTCTGGGATATCCAGATCGTATTCAACGCCTTCATCGTCATGATGCTGGAGCTCGATGTGGATGGAGCCATTAGATGCGGTGCTGGACGGGGAGCTTGAGCCACCCTCTCGAACTGTGGACCGATCCTTCTTGGAACTCCTCGATCCGGACCATGTTGACGAAGTTGCGTGGTCTTGGCCAAGATCGTTGCATACTTGTACACATAGTTGGAAGCAAAGTTTACATAAGCCGTAGGGCTGAGCCTCGTAATTCTCCATCGAGGTTTCAGATTCGGAGAGCGGAGACTGTCGCGAGGTTGTCCGGCCGACGAACGGAGCGCCTTCTTCGAGTAGTAGATGTGACCACGAGATCTATACCGAGTCGCGGCAGACGACGGCCCGAGCTGGTCGGGTAGATCTATTATGGGTAGCGGTTACCTGCTCATTAGGTTGACTTTGAATTGAACTTACCAGAGCTAGGGTTTCGGCAAGTTTGGTGCCGACCCGATCGATGGAGTCGAGCAGGTCGGTGTTGTCGATCTGCTTCCCTTTGTAGCGAGGAAGCGGACGACGGGTTGTCGGCGTGGCCGAAGGCGATGCGGATGTGGTCGGAGCCAGATCCACCGTGGTCGGAGCCGTAGCCGGTGCAGGTGAAGCAGTGGTCGACGCGGATTGAATCCGCGCCTCCTCCGTGATCATGGCGATGAAGTCGTCGGAGCCAGTGGTCCAGGTGATCTGGCCGACGGTGAACGTGAGGCCGTTCGGCGTAGCCACGGAGCCGGGGATGATGACCATCTTGTTCGCTTGGAGAGCAGTACGCACACCCCCTACCTGGCGCGCCACTGTCGATGAAATATGGTCGGCAATCTACCTAGGGATATGCCCAAGGTAGTAGATTATCGGCAGACAGGTGCGCAAGCTACGAACAAGATGACGCAAGACAGACACGAGGTTTTATCCAGGTTCGGCCGCCATGAGGGCGTAATACCTACGCCTGCGTCTGATTGTATTGTTGTATGTCAATGAGATGTCTTTTTTAGAGGGGTTCCATGCTCGCCTTATATAGTCTGGGGGCAGGCTTACAGATCTGGAAACTAATCCTAACCGGTTACAATTGTCATAGGTGGCCGGATAAGGATTCCTATTCTAACCGACCAGGATCTTGCTTGATCTCCAAATCTGCCTTGATTCCTTGCGCGGGACTCCAAACAGATTGGCCGGGCCGCACGTCGTCTTCTAGTGGGCCAGACCCCCTGGTCCGGGCCGGCCCGAGCCTAGCCGTAAGGGTATAGAGGTTAATATCCCCACAGGTTGCTTATTTTGTATAGTATAAAATATAGCTAACAGTGTATTACCATCATTTTGTTTACCTCTTTATGTTACAACGGCTACTTGCTTTTTAGAAGAAGAAACAAATGGCTAAGGCCAGCACCAATGTGATGACTTCATTGTCAATTAGGCTCGGACGTACATAATTAATTTGGTACCGAGTTAGAGTCAATCATCCATGAGGGTTTTGGTTGCCCGCATGTGTCGTGTCCGGGCGCCGCGCATATGTCCTGGTCTGGCTCTGGGATTCAACTTTCGAGGGCGTGTTTGGTTTGTGACTGGGCGGAGCTGCCTGGCGCAGGCAGCGCCCCCATGCGATCGATTTGGATTGCTGCCTGCCAGGTCACTATATAAACAGGCCCTCAAGAGTGCGTTTGGATGACTGCATGAACCCCTGAGCTTGTCTCCTGCCATGCAAAAGTAGCCGGTGAACATCTAAATAGGTAGATTATGGTATCCGACCAAAGGGAGAATTCCCAGAGAGTTCTCCCGTGACGCAGCGTATTAGAAAGCAAGTAAGCATGTTTTATGGTATAATTAGTATTTTAAAGTATTAGAAAGCAAACGCACTCTAGCATAGAGGTAAAAGAAAGGAAAAAAAACATGCTTACTTGCTTTCTAATACGCTGCGTCACGGGAGAACTCTCTGGGAATTCTCCCTTTGGTCGGATACCATAATCTACCTATTTAGATGTTCACCAGCTACTTTTGCATGGCAGGAGACTAGCTCAGGGGTTTATGCAGTCATCCAAACGCACTCTTGAGGGCCTGTTTATATAGAGACCTGGCAGGCAGCAATCCAAAACGATCGCATGGGGGCGCTGCCTGCGCCAGGCAGCTCCGCCCAGTCACAAACCAAACACGCCCTCGAAAGTTGAATCCCAGAGCCAGACCAGGACATATGCGCGGCGCCTGGACACGACACATGCGGGCAACCAAAATGCTATAAAGAGACGCAAGTGCTCACCAGCTAGGACCGACCAATCAGCACGTTTGCACACACAAGGCCTCCAATAGTGCAATCTAATCCACGACAAACCCATCTTAAGAAGAGAGGCATACAAAGTTACCGCAACCAGTTTACAATACCATACATATAGTTCAATATAAAAGGTAGCTACAATTCATAGCTCTGATTATTAACTTCGGCGGTGCATAACGGTGTGCCAGCATCACCAAAACAGTGCAGGTACTTGGAAAAATACTCCCTTAGGTAAAAGCATGAGCGCAGCGTCAATCTTAGCAGTAGAACATGACGCGCTTCACATTTTCCTTGAGGGCAGGTAATGGCCTCACAGCAACATTCCCAACACCAGCCCTGGTGTTGCGTGCCTCTGGTGGAGGGCCACGGCTTGGCGTAGCACCGCCACCATAGACCCACTGTCAGTGGTATCCGCTCCATGTAGAAGCGAGCTCGAAGGCTGCCAGGTGAGCATAGTACGCAGGGAGGTACTGCAAGCAATCCAAATAACAGTCAGCGTATGTTTCATAACATTACCAACCCACACTACATCAACGGTGGGTGGGTACGAAATTAAACTCAATGTCAAGTCGGGCTTACCGATTGATACTGAGCGAGTGCACCTAGCATACCTGAGAAGGTTGATCTTGAGTTTAGAAATTGGTGCTTAAAAAGAGCTAAAAAAAACTAAGGGATAGAGCAGTAAAATGTTACGTGTAACACAGGTTGTTGGTGAGAGTTTGCAACCCATCAGCGGTAAATTTGTTTTCATCCCACAGAACATGATAATGGGCAGGGCGGCTTGTTCCCTGAAAGTAACCCAAAAGGAATTCCATCGTTAGTGTAGAATAAAACAAATAACTGAAATTCAGCGATGAGACAGGGAAACCAGACCTGAATGCCAGCATGGCTACAGAGGTAGAAATCAAATTCAGTTGGATGGCAGATCTTTGAGTCCACCACAGTACCTATTATTTCAGAAAAGTTTAAGGGCATACAGATATTTCAGAAAAGATGAGGGCATACAGATTATACAAGATAGCCTATTCCAAAAACACAAGCTAAGCCCAAAGTGTAACAAAAGGCACATCAAGAACTTACCAGGCAGTATGTTTCCACTTTTATCAACAGCACGTGGGTCATTGTGATTATTAGCAAACAACCTAGTGTGATGACGCTTCTGGACCACAACAAAAGTAACCGGAGGCTGGTAATCCGACTCCAATGATGCACAGGCCTATATCCATAGTTTCGCTAGGGTGGTCAGAGAAAAATAAAGGTGAAGACAGTTACCAAACTAATGCACTCAAATCAAGTTTACCCTTCTAATGGCATCAAGTTCATACAACAGAACTTGGTAGAACTGTCCCTCACTGACACCATCCCTGAAAGTGATAAAAGTGTTTAATATACAGGGAATCACAGTCAGAAAAGGTGCTCATGAAAGGATACAAACCTGTAGAATATGATCCTCTTTGGTTTCTGTCCAGTTGCCCGCCAGAAAGAAATGAGAAGTTCCCTGCACAATCAACAAAAGTTATGCGTCTGGAGGAATCCAAACACGTAGAAGTGAATGCATCTCATTTATCTTAATAAAGATCATACCTGACCATGCCACCAGAGACAGATCCCCTTTGGGGATCTTGATATACTTTGAAAAGATCCTGTATCAATTCTTGGCGATGGGCTTGAGCACTCACTAATCCTGCATACTTGGTAACCTCAGGCCAGTCCTGAGAAGCAACAACCTAGGAGAAAAATACAGTGAGAAAAAAAAAGAGTAAAACTTCAACTGAAAAAGATAACATATCTTCTGGTATTTCTTTGCCACAATAGGGCTTCACTTACAGCTGCAATGGAAGGACTAGAATCTTCCCCAGGATGGGGATGGGTCACATCAGCACCAAAGATAATAGTTGGTACGTCACTGACAAGGGGGATCCTCCTTGTCAAAGCATCAACAAGTACCGTATTCCTTCCCCCAGCCTGAAAAGTATGATAACTGTAAGAGACGAATCGGTGTTAAAATCAAAGATTAGAAGAGTTAGTGCAATTACAAACCTTCACGTTTATTTTCAGGGCAACATTTGCAAGATACTGCTGCTTGTTCGCCTTGAAAACATGTTTAGTCAGACAGCATTGGGAGACCAATCCAAGATCAGTCTCACAGATCCTTTTGAGATCCCCTGAAGAATGAAAAGAATACTAATAGCAAAGTTTGTTCATTGAGCAAATGCTCGAGAGCCTTTCGGAAGAAAACATACCGTAAAGAGAACCATTATTGTCAGGCAGTATTACAATCAGCAAGTCAAGTTCTCGGCCCTGAGGCCTGAGTATGTTCATGGCATCTTGATAGCGTCCCTTTAATGCTCTTTCAACATGTTCAGGCCTCGCATAGCAAGGGGGCAGCACAGGTTCAAGTGCAAAATCCTAAAAGAGTATGTGAAGAGCAAATAACACAAACGAAAATATATTGAAGTTCTGAGACACACACATACCATTCCTGATACTTGGCACATCAAAGCCAGTTCATGACAGAAACTCCTGGCAGCACCATCTTGCACATTTCGTGAGAAATTAATGCATGCCCAGCTGCTAACTCTACCACCATTGACCATTTTCTACCGCAATAAAAAACATTAAAAACAATCATGAGAAAAGTTACAAAATGCTTAATGACTAATCAAGGGAAAACAAAAGGGAATAGGTTGAAAACCGATTTAAGTTTATGTTACAATAATGTTAAAGGCAAAGGAGTATAACCTAAATGACCAATTTCAGTGGCGAGGTGGCATAAATATTAGTCACGAATTAACTACCAGGGTGATTGAAAACGGAGGCAAGACAAGAGCAAAATTTCAGGTAAACCAGACGCTCACAATAGAATTTGGCAAGTAAATCATGCAAAATTTCTGAAAATATTTTCCACGTAAAACTACACAAGCACATGTAATTGTTAGATAAGGGGATGGCAGAAACAATATGAAGTTGTCTACCGAACCCAGAAAATGGAACTTCACTAGTCGTTAGCAGCTATCAAGCTTACATAAAGAATCTCATTAATGTATTGTTCAAGCAATGATCAGACAATGGCTTGGAAGCATGCTATCATGCTTCAAGGGAGGGAGGCTGGCATCTATATCATGGTTGCAGGTCTAAGTTTATTTTTTTGTGTAAAATAAATATAACTGACTACACCTAAAGGAATTCACAGAGTGATTTTGTCTTGGCGGCGTAGTCATAACGAGGCATACCTTATTCATCATATTCCACTGGCCAACTCTTGGCCATACATCCCTCTCTTTGCCACTATCATGGTATTTCAGCTATTACACAGAAAGAAGAATATACCAGGACACCAGGTTAAAGTATGCCCAAATATACAAATCAACTGTTATGTGCTGTTAAACTTAAAGCAAGGTGAAACTCACTGACCTTTGGGGGAGGCAGAACACGAGCTTCAACGGATGCAAGACGCTCATCAATCCTTATACCAAATTCCTGGGCATAAGGATCCTCAGAGTAGGCATTGTGATGAACAGTCTGATCAAATAGGTAAGGCAAACAAGAGATTTAGAATCATCAGTTCATTGGTTTACTTTTGTGAAGGCAAAAGCTAATTAATTAAACAAAAGAAACAGAATATACCATGTCACTTAATCATTATATATGCAACGACAACAACAACAATAATAATATATATTTATATAAATAATTTTTGCACAAACAATTTATTCATCAAGCAACTTATTTTATGAATGTTATACGTATAAATGCACCGCTAGTGCTACTGCTGCTGCAACTACTAGTACTACTATTCCTTAGTCAAACCAAGAAATATGATCACAATCACCTGCAAGATGTCTTTCTCACGCTCATGGGGACGCTGGCAAGTCACCTTCAGTAGAGCAGTGATCTGTTTCTCATTAAGCCGTTTTGAGTAACGCTGTCCCTCAACTATCTTACAGACCTGGTATTTCAATGCCATAGGCAACTTATGAAAACATGCGGAAGCTGGATATGGCATTTAGAAATCATATGAATAGATAAACATAGTGCAATAATTAATACAGCGATTGCAATACAGCTGGCAGAAGACACTAACCTCCATAGGCAGATAATTTGGTCTTTGCTGATTGCCCACTTGCAAGCAAGGTAAAGTGGTGTGCTGAATACTGAAGCCATAAGTCTCCAGGAAGTATTGCACCACAGTCTTAACAGTACCATGATCATCAATAGGGAATCTATCATAGGAAAACCATTGAAATCCTGTAAGCGCATTATACCTTATGATATCAACTGATATAAGCTAAGAAACGTGCACGTACGATAACTCCCTTGTTGCCTGTGAAGTAAGGCCAGATATCCGATATTTCCTACGCATGTTTCCACGGTGTGTGACCTCGACTTTCACACCTCGTAGGGCTTTTTTAATCTATATATACAAAGGAGAGCAAATGGAAAGAGATGAAGCATAAACCAAAGTTTCTATGAAGAAAGGTAGGGTAATAAATCAAACCTTCACACGATCAGAATCAGACAATGGTCTAACTGAGATATCTCTGTTAAGAAGCTGAGCAACAAATTCAATCACAGGGAGGGGCTCAATAAATGCAGTAGAGGACATATCTGCGAAAAAAGAAATCGAGCAAACTCAATTTTTCAGATAAGACCAAATAGTGATTCCACAAACTATGTCCAAAGGCATCATGATCTAGAATGTAGTGTATGTAGTGTGTTCCTAACTGTCATGATCATGTATCAAGTTTGAAAACTAGAAGGTAGAAAACATGAAAACAATAGTATCTAACCAATATTCAGAGAAAGACCCATCTGTGTGGGCCTTATGCTTTGGTAGAAACCACGCCAAGTTTCCAAACCATCACCAAGATGCTGACGTCTCCCTAAGTTGGGAGAATAAAATGATCTACCAACAGGACAATACCTATACAGGGAAATGCAAATTACAATGGAGATTTTGCCACAGAAAAAAAAAACTCTTACCGAAGTACCATTCACTCAAAGATTACCTGGCAGTAGGCAATTCACGTAGCACAATGTCAAGTACTTGAAGAGCTTCTTGAGGAGCATCTGGTTGCCTCCCAGCTAGAAACATAGCCAGATGGTGGAGATCAGCACGAGCAGCAAATTTGATCACCACCCGAAATACCCTCTGGCGCCTTAAAACAGAAGGAATGTCAGTAGGAAATTTTGGATACATTTTAAGCACAGAGACAACAGCACAGCGTTACCTTTGGCCTCCACCAAGACTGTCTTCCTCATCTTGCAGAGTAATTTCGAATGTCTTCGAAGTAAACGGCAATGCTCCAGCTGTATAAAGACTCTTCCTTCCATCGTATGCAGGCAGACGCCCATCCAAATGGGAGTGTCTATAAAGGTTTACAAGCTCTCCCATGACAGCACGATTGACCCCAGCGTGAAATAACCTCAGGCGTTATTGATACCTGATGGCAATAGGCTGGTTATCAAAAATCTCATATAAAAACTATGGTGACCAATTATGTCATATTATTGGCTTACATCGTATTGGTGAAGGTCTTTATTAGGCAGCTCAGCAAAGAAATGATTTGCCTTCACGATGCACCTGGACCCATGCATTTCCTTGCCAGGGCGCAATGGGAATCTAACCGCTTTGCTTGATGCTGGTGCCACCTGACCAGCTTGGCTGGCTGAACTTTGGTCATGAATCGCAAGTTGCTGAAGCTGTTGCTGGACTTGTCCAGTGCTCACCTCGGCCTTCCTAGGCTGCGAGGACGAGCCAGCTCCCGGTGGTGATGGTGTTGCCACCACAGGGGCTTGATGTTGGACATCTGGGGCTTGGTGCAGCTCGGGAACTGGTCTAGATGGACCTGAAGGAACACTTGGTCCAACACTACCTCCCACATGCCCGCCACGGTATGGCTGCGGCATTCCCCCTCTGGGACGCGGACCACCACGTCCCTGGTAGTCATGCGGTTGAGACCCAGGTGGTGGCCCCGCACCAGAATGCTGTGAAGGTGGGCCGCCACGGCCCTGGTATCGACCACGGCCCTGATAGCCACGCGGTTGAGACTCAGGCGGCCCGCCAGCAGGAAGCTGTGAAGGTGGACCGCCACGTCCCTGATATCCACCACGTCCCTGGTAGTCACGCGGTTGATACTGAGGTGGCCCACCGCCTGGTTGCTGTGAAGGCGGCGCTCCACGGCCCTGATATCCACCGCGGCCCTGGTGTTGCCCTCCACCACTGGCACCCTGTTGAGTTGCCTGAGGACGCTGTGAGGAGCCCTGCCCAGGCGCTCCAGAAGCCTCCCCAGAACTCTCTCCAGGGCCGGTTCTTTTCTTCCTCACCATGACAGATGGACACTGGCATAAGAGATACAACAAGACAGTGAGACTAAAAGATTCTAATGTATATAAAAAAAAATTAACATCGAAATGAGGTGAAAAAAAACAAACAGAAGGACAGGGGCAGGTTCCGTTTATATATATCACTTAATAAAGGAAATAAAAGGCCTAGCATGGGCACAGCATTTGCAAACTATTCAGCCTTGCATACACATACATCGTTTATCAACAAGACCAACCGCAACAGAATAAAACGATAGAATTAAATTTACATAAGAAATTAACTATGCCAATGGATGGAGGATGATGCGTGAAAACACATTGTTAGTAGCAAATGATGCATGCTATACACACAAACAGCAGCGGGCAACATGCAAAAGTAAAACGAACTCGTCCCGTCACGGAAGACACTATTCTAGAGCAAGTAATGTGGCGATGAGAGTCTGGGTTGTGGTTTGTGGCTACTGATCTGATGTTACGCTTCCCTCTCATAGCATGTAACAACAGATTGGAATAGTAAACCTAACCAGAGGATGGAACGCGGGTAGATCAACGATTCACAGGAGGAGGCAACAGCACAACTAGGGAAAGGCCTGAACGGAACGGTTGGGATCGGCAGAACGAGACGGGATAGATCCCATCCAATCCACGGGCAACTTAACCCTACCTCCCTACCTCCTCTCTATGGAGGTCACGCAGCAACGGCGGCGCGGCGCACGAGAGAGAGGGGAACCAAAAAATAACCGTACGAAAGCGACGGGCAGACAGATCTATCTACAAGTAAGTAGGAACGGAGCAGCGGAGGAGGGAAGGGCGATGCCGATACCGGAGCAAGACGGGCGGCGCGGTGGCGAAGGAAACCCTAGCCTCCAATCCTCCAACTCCTCCGCTAAGCGCGCTTTGCTTTTGCGGCCGCCCCAGCGCTCGTGCTCCTCTCTTTCTGTTTGTTGGTTGCCTGCCTTCGAGGGGAAGGAAAGGGGAGTGGCCAAGTGAAAAAGATGACGCGACGCCACTGGGTGGGCCCCGCCAGTGAAAAAGATCACGACGAGGAGAAGGACTGGCTCTTTGTAGGCCTCATTGCCCGGCCCGGGCCCTGATGCCTACGCCCTACGGCCCGCAAGCAGCTTTTCTTTTTCTTTTTTTACTTTCCCTTCTCCTTATTAGAATGGACAATATCATGCGCCGTGGATGGTTTAAGCTAAACGAGATAAAACACAAACAAACTCCTTTTGTAAGACACGCATGCAAGCCAATTTCTATAGGCGCTTTGATCATCGCATGTGCCATTCTTTTATCTTCCAATACGCCCGTTCTAGCCTGCGGACACAGCCATCGGATTAATCCTGGATCACGCACCAGCAACTAGGACTAGGTCGCTCATACTGCCACGGACCAAAAAAACGCAGCGAGGATCACACTTACTTGTTGAAAAACCTAGAGTTTACGAGCAAACCACCGAAGGGTAACCAACGTGCTTATGTGACGAAGAACCAACGTGCTTACGTGATGAAGAACCGCTAGTTTCCAGACAAACTAGCAAAGGAACCGTCAAAGCTCTCGCCCGAGAAGTACCACGTGGGGGCAAGAACGTCGCCGGGTTGCCCTAAGTCAGCCAACAAGCCTAGAGCGCTATCCTTGATCGTCGGATCAAGCGATGAGAGCAATATGGGATTGGAATATGACATAAATGAGTTGTAGAAGCCATGTACCCCCTATTTTATAGGGAGTAGGGGTGGTCTTATCCCATTAAAAAATCAATACGGCACTATCGTTGTGTCGCTTTGTAGAATTTTTCTTATATCGTACCAAAACTGGCATGGGGGCCTAATTGAAATGAGGCCCAATTTAAATGTCAACAGGTTTGTTTTGGTAGGACTCTAGCTTCCCCTCAAACGATTATGTCTAAGCTCATTTAGAGAAATAGTTTTTTTATATGGAGCTGAGATCCTTTTAAAAAAGCATGTCACCAATAACTTATCTTATTTTATTTCATGGAATGTATAGAGGAGGTACGGACAAATGTCAATTTGTAGTATGATTATTTGGAGTGAACAAAATTTAATGGTGCATAAATTAAATTTAAATGATAAATAATGGTTCCTTTTGAAGTAGAGCAATGTTTACAAAAGTAATTATGGCATAGCATTTAACCATACCACCAAACATACATGATCTTGAATTGGCTTTGCAATGTCTTCATCGAATTTATCCATAAACCAATCAGTGCAATAGTTTAGTTATGTCAAAGAATACAGTAAGTTAACAATAACAACTAAGGTCATGGGCGCAAGAGACGATGGAGTGACATGGGACGCGGTAAAACCAGATGTATATTTTCTTACCGGATTATATGGGGATTTTAATTGAGGTAGACCTAAAGAGACCATTATAATATGTTATATTATAGAATCCAATGGTAAAAAAAGAAAAAATTGGTAAATCGATGTATATTTTTTAAGTCGTTGAAAAGTTATACGTTGGGTCTCTCCATCGTTTCTAATATCTCACCCTTGAAAATCAAATATAATATTATAAAGCACACACATAGAAAAAAATTAAACGAAACGCATTCATTCCATCTCCACACACGTAGTTTTACCAATAGAACAACACTCGGATGCTATACTTGCTTTCTAAAAACTCAAGTTGTTATGTTCTAACACTCAGATATGTGCCCCTTTGCTTTCTCGCAGCACGTAAGCGAAGGATGCCGACATCTTACATTTGGAAAGGCTAGGTATTGACGTCGTCCCCTGTCGTCGACCTTGGAGCTGTGGCGCCGTGATCGCACTCCTTGTTGACATAGACATATCACCTAAGCGCAAAGTCACACGACCCACTCAAGGCAGAAGACAGCGACGCGGAGGCCGCCGACCATGCGGAGGATGACGACGCCATCCTCCTCATGGACATATGGCTTGAGCTTGCCAGAGAGGAAGTTCAAGGTGTAGTAGGCTAGTAGTTACGTGGAGGGTTGGGCACCGTGGTGATGGGAGAAGCAAGAAAACCTACGGGAGAAGTCGCCCTTCACGACGTATCTTTCGACACGTGTTGACTGATTTTTTCCTAAGGGCGTCTTTGGCAAGGCTCCTGTCCAAGCGGCTCCGGCCCCCATGTGTTACTGTGCTACACTGTGGCACTAGCAAAAACATCTTTGGTTCATTCGGTTTTTGCCTATCAAACCGACGGAGGCAACGGAGCTGCGTTTATCGAGCTCCTTTGGTTCCGTGCTATAGTGCACGACATTGTCGGAGGCGGTAAGAGTCCGGCCAAACGGGCCCTAGGTGCGAAAAGATTAGGATAAAAATGTTTTATATACTATACTAAAATGTATTAAGATTATGATGTTTCCTCAGGCTTAGCTTTTACTTCTCTTGCTGCTGGTAACCCCAGCGTACTCTGTAACGGTGTCGTGGCTTTATAAAAGCAGAGTTAATTCTCGTTTTAAAAAAAATGTATTAAGATTTTGGAAACTATGAAAGATACAGCTATATAAGCAAATTGAATTAACGGCAGGGCGGGGGCAGTTGACCATGGAGCAGGAGACAGACATGTTAGCGGGCCGCGCGCTGGAGCGGAGAGCAGGGGCCCGAGGGAGGGACGGGTGAGGTCACCTCCTTTTCCTTGCCGCAACCGCAAACAACAGGAGCAGGCAGCAGACAGCAGAGTGAGGGGAGTGGGGTGGGATCCAGTGCAGTCCAGTTCCAGTCCAGCCAGCCGCACAGGTCCCCTCCTCTCTGACTGAGATCGGAGGAGGAGGAAGAAGAGGGAGAGCGAGAGAGCAAGGGGAGCGGAGGAAGCGGGCGTGGAAGGAAATTAAGGAATGGCTGGTCGGCGCGCGGAGGAGGAGTACGACTACCTGTTCAAGGTGGTGCTGATCGGGGACTCGGGCGTCGGCAAGTCCAACCTCCTCTCCCGATTCACCCGCAACGAGTTCTGCCTCGAGTCCAAGTCCACCATCGGCGTCGAGTTCGCCACACGAACACTTCATGTCAGTCACTCAGTCCCCTCTTCCCTTCCTCTCTATTGTTCTACTACTACTGCATCAGATATTCAGATCAGATCTCCGATGATCCTCTCCTCTCTATACATCGTCAGACAGATCCAGCCTCCTTCCATTCCCGTTAAAGGTCCTGTTTTTTTTTTTATTATTAACAATTTATCGACCAATTAGCATCTATTACTAAACTGGCTGCTTCCTTGCCTGTATTTCGTTCGTTCGTCTATTCCATCACACTGTCAGCTACCTAGCTTGCTGGATGCTGGATCTGCGCGCGCTACCTTTCCAATTCATGACTCATTCTTCTCACTTCTCACCATCCATCCATCCATCCATTCCGTAGCTACCTCAACTCAACACTCAGTTGATACATACATACATACATCAATCAACCAAATTAAAAGGCAAACAGTTGGGGGCAAGCTAAAAAAGTTACTGTCTTTCCTGCTAAGCAAAGCAACGAGTGGCCTCGATTGAATTCAAGTCGCACTGCACATGGGATGGGTGGTAGCAGATCCGCACGTGAGTCGTCTCCGCCTCCGCCGGTGCCGCACGCGCTCATCTCATCCCATTGTTGGATTATGTGCATGATGGATGATGATTCATGTCAGTATCATATAGTCATCGTCAACCAGCACCACCACCACCACTAGTGGGGTACACTATTTTACTTGTGGATAAACGTTAGCTTCAACATAACCAGTGTCGCTGTCAGCTCCGTAAGCAAGTGGCAACTGTGATCTGTGCTGTGCCCCTAGTGCAGAGTTAGCTAACTACCCTCCTGCCCAACTACCCTCCATGCCCACCAGCCATAGAATGAGTATGGGCAGGTGCCTACCACGCCACACTGAGCTCAGCTGTTTTATCTTGCTTGCTTGCTGTGTTGCCTGAGACTGGAAGACTTCCTGCTGTAAGCATCAGCAAGCTACTCATTGTGGAAACTACACCTCTTGTACAGCAACATTCTCAGTTAACCATATCTGTTCACCTGCGAATTTTGCCTTCAGCTGCAGCCTCCAGATCAAGACCCTTTCCGAATTAAGGGCGCATTCTGCATTTTTCAGACAGTTGCCAGTTAGTGGACCTGATATAACTAACCTAATCTGCTTCCCCAGTTGTTCCTAAAAAAAGTTCTGTATATATCTAATTTTGCCTGTCTTGCCCTCTATCGCAATCTTTTCTGTCAATGTGTAAGCAGTCCAACTACAGACACTAATCCTCCAGTCCCTCACCTGTGCAACTTGATAATATTGTAGGTTGAGGGCAAGATCATCAAGGCGCAGATCTGGGACACAGCAGGCCAACAGCGGTACCGAGCAATCACAAGCGCCTACTACCGCGGGGCGCCCGGCGCTCGGCGCGGTCCTGGTTTACGACGTGAGCAAGCCCACCACCTTCGAGAACATCAGCCGGTGGCTCAAGGAGCTGCGCGACCACGCCGACTCCAACATCAGAATCATGCTCGTCGGCAACAAGACCGACCTGAGGCACCTCCGAGCTGTCGCCACCGACGACGCGCAGAGCTTCGCCGAGGCAGAAGGCCTGTCCTACATCGAGACGTCCGCGCTGGAGGCGACCAACGTGGAGGAGGCGTTCCAGCTGATCCTGGGCGACATTTACCGGGCCATCAGCAAGAAGCCTGTGGCGTCGGATGAGGCCAGGCAGGGCGCTGCTGGAGGCGTCAAGGAAGGTAAGACCATCAATGTGGCGACGGGTGGTGATGCCGCTGCTGAGAAGAAGCAATGCTGCTCAGCTTAGAACCCATGGTGATCTCGTTCAGTGGCGTATGTGTTGTTGTGATGGTTGTTTTTTCTTTTCTTTCAGTCCAAAGTTTGTTGATTCATTTTGTCAGATAGTACCTTCGTTGGACCTCATGTTCACACTAAACACTACTGGAGGTGGGCTCTTTGCCGAGTGACTGTTGCACTCGGCAAAGACAGCTTTGCACTTGGCAAAGCCTTTGCCGAGTGCAACACTCGGTAAAGAGCCTCCGTCGAATCCCCTTCAGGTAAAGGCTGCTCTGCCGAGTGCTAAATTTTGGACACTTGGCAAAGACTTTGTCGAGTGCCATACGGGCACTCGGCAAAGATTTGACGCCATCTAATTTAAAAAAAAAAAAAAACTCTTTGCCGAGTGCCTGTGGCACTCGGCAAATAAATCTGTTTTTTAACCTCTTTGCCGAGTGCCACAGCACCAGCACTCAGCAAAGGGTGTTTTTTATTTTTTTTAATTTTCTTTGCCGAGTGCAATGAAAACACATTTTTCGAGTGCAATGGGCATTGCACTCGGCAAAGCCACCTCTAAATTTCTTTTTTTTTGTTTTTTGCTTTTCCATTTAAACAACAATGCATATATATATATAAATAATAGAAACCACAATTCAACAGCAATAAATTACAAACAACATTTATATATTACAAACGACCAAATTTGTCCGAAATCCACAATTTATTACAAACCACAAGTTTATAGTCCACAAGTTCATAAGTTCGATACATAGAAACTACTCCGCAAGCGGCTCACGGCGACTGCGCCCCAGCGTGCGATCCCGGCGACGGTCCGGGTGCGGATGGGCCGACTTGCGATGCCGGCGACCCTCCGACCTGGTTCGACGCCGCCCCCGATGTCCGCTGCACAAAAAAGAAGATATTGCACGTGAGTGACAAGATAAAAATGTAAGGAGTTTAAAGAAAAGTTGAAAATTTCGGCAGCACGTCCCCTGCACGGGGACGTTTCCAAAACCTGCAAGAAAAACGTCGGCACGAAGACCGACAACCACATTTCCGGCACGAAGGCCGACACATCAACTAACCCGGCATGAAGGCCCACACATCAACAAATCTGACACGAAGGTCATATCTAGGTTTGACACTAAGCATGAGCACAGAAAGTAAAACATACTCACCGGAGTAGACTGTGGTGGTGGCTGTGGTGCAAGCAGGTGTAGTGGGATCTGTCAACCTTGTTGCTCCCCAAGTTGTTGCACGAACCTGAGCAAACCTTCTTGCTAGGCCTCAACAGCTTGTAGCCTCTGACGCTCGGCCTCCCGCTCGGCCCGCTTAGCCGCCCGCTCAGCTTCCTAGGCCTCCTGCTGGGCCCAAAGTTGCTGCAGCTCGGCCTGCAACATTTGACTCCAATGTTTCAATATTGTAGAGCTAAGGAACGTAAAAGTCAAAGAACGACGAATGAAACTGGAATACTTACCTGGAGTGCTGCCACCGTTGTCGGTCGTTGGCTTATGGGCACGCTAGAGCTCGTGCTCGCTGCTCGGAGGCGGTTCAGAGGAGGAGTAGAGCCCATGTTGAGGACGCCGTCGCCAAGCCAGAACCGCCCATGCTTCTTGCCTTCCCCCACCCGCATCACGATCTCAGGATCAAGGCGCTCCTCGGTCCTCGGATCGTAGGCCGACCCGTGGACTGACCTTGCCGCCTCCGTGTAAGAAGTGAGGCGGGTGTGGACGCTGGAGTTGGTGTACGCCTCTGGGCCCGCATCCGGGTTGTACTCGATGTTGGACCTTGTCGGGCCCATGTGGGCCAGAGCATACGCCGTGAGTTGGCCAATTGGCTAGCCACCGTGCGCCGCCGACTGCGAGAAAGACAACAACATGTGGTTAAAAATCATGCAGAATTGAGCGTGGCTAGATTAGACAAATGGTGCAGACTTACATATGTCTTTACATACTTGCTGAGCCTGGCGCTGCCCTGATGGTGAGGGGCACCTGGCATCAGCGCTCACTGGTCGCTTTTCTCCTGGTGCTCCTTCTGCCAGTCCGCGTCCAGCCATTTGTCCACTATAGCAGCCCAGCAATCGAGATGGGTGGCGCACCAGCTTGGAATCACCTACAAGCCATCAGAAGATCAAATTAGGCATAGTTAATCTCAAAATAAATCAACAGGAGATGTTTTCTATTTACCTGTAGGTATTGCTCCCTTGTCAGAATCTCTGTCTGTCTCCTCGCCTGTGTTTTGTTGATTCTTCTCTTACGGTAGGTGGCGTTGTAGTCAACGTGCGCCTGGAGGTGGGCCTCGTAATACAAGTCCGAGACACGCCTTTTATAGGAAGCGTAAGCCACCTAATACGCCCTTGCCTCCTGGCTCGGCTGGCATCTAAAGAAGTCCTGCATAAAGACATGAGGTATCCATTATTTTATTTGAAGAATGTCCAATGAATGCAATAAATGCAATGAATTGAGGCTTACCCACAACTCCGAAATCACCCGATCTGCCAAGTTTCTGTGCGGAGCATCGGTGGCGACGAGGGCGTAGTGGTCGAACGGGGGTACCTCTAGGTCCTCATCCTCTGACGTCCACACTAGGCCAGGGAAGTGTTCCCTGCACAGAAGTCCCAGGATCCCATTGACATTTCGAGCCGGGACCCCCTCCTCCACAAGCATCCAGTTCCTGCACAAGTGATCCCATTGACATTAGCTCTTATTATGATTTTTCAACATATCAAATGAAGAACATATGAAGTTACTTACTTATCCCCTCGGGTGAAATCGATGGCGGCGTTGGGTGCAATCGGTCGCCGGAGGCTGGTGGGACCTCGCAAGTAGGGTTTCGAGGTGAAGAGGAAGTCAAACCCCTCCCCCCTCGGGACGTGTCTGCGGAACCCCCCTCCTCGGGCCAGCAAAAGCAGGCGGCGTCGTACATCTGCGGACCCATCCCTCGCCCCACCGTGGGCGGGAGGGACGTCGTCGTCCATAGAAGTGCTTGCGAGGAGCCAAGGTCGTGGTCGGTCCGACGGCTCCCTTTGGGCCTCCCCTCGACCTCCTCTGCCTCTCTCGACGTCTCTGCCTCAGTGTCCTCAAATGGGTGGCGTGTCCCTCGGTCTCGAGTAAGTCGACCGACACCTCCTAGTGGGCCCTATCACTGCAATTAAAAAGAATAAACCAAAGATTTAGTACGAGATAAACGAGAAGTACTTAGCAAGGGATGCAAAATAAAGAAAATATAATTACAAAATAACATAGTATTACATGTATTTCTAATATTCTTCATGATCGGGATTATCTGGATGATAGGTATCGTCATCACTATCAAGAGCCTCCAAATCGTCAATGACCTCATCCTCATCGCTATCATTGTCAAGTACAAGTCCGTCAAGCATTTTCAAGTCTCTCGGATCATGCACCTCATCTGCACTTCCTCGTCAACAACCCATTCCTCGTCTACTTCCATTTCAATCTCTCGATTAAGTCTATCTCAAGCATCCTCGGTAGCCCCTTGTCTTGTTGATAGAACTCCCGTCATGCGTGGGTGGGTTCAAGTTGTAATCAACATCGTTTGGGGGAGGACATTTACCATGTGGTGATACCTTGTGCACAATATACCAACCCTGAAGACGTGGGTCGGTTTTGCAAGCATATGGACAATAATAAACTTGCCTGGCTTGTTGAGCCACAATATAGACATCATCTCCTGGATAGAAGGAATCCTGTCTAGTTTTGACTATCCCAAATTTAGGGGACTTTTTCGATACTGCATTATCAAACCACTGGCATTTGAAAATGACTGGCTTAGGTGCTTTTTCACCATGGAATTCGAGCTCGTATATTTCTTCAAATGTGCCATAATAGTCCTCCTGCTCCTCGCCGAGCGTAACTACTCCGGGCGTAAATACTCCGGTATTGGTGGTCCTTGGATTGGGCCGACTCTTCTCGTAGCTTGTTGTGTGAAAGCGATATCCATTCACGTCATAAGCGTTAAATGACGAGACCTTATAGTCAAAGCCTCTAGCCACTTGTCGTAATTCGACACTTATAGGCAAATCACTTTGGCATTGCAAGCTCAAGCAGGAGAGAAATGAAATTAGGCAACTAGGAACGCCAAAATTGAAACGACCTAAGTTGGTCAGAAGGTACCTTTCTTTGGAACCATGTAATGAAATCAGGTGAACCATGTTGAAGAAGGGTCTCTCGTTCATGGTCAGAAGGTGGCCTTGAAAGATGCCAGTATTGATAAAAAAATTCCCTGCACCGACAAGCAACAAGGTTGTTGGATGCAGAAAATTTACGGAGTATGTAACAAGTTCGTTGAGAACTTATCCTTGATACTTGTTGACTTCGTCAAGGTTAGTCAACACGTAGAGCATGATCTTGCGCCACTCTTCATTGGTCAGCCTCTTTTTGGCCGCTCCACTTGATCTCCCGCGTTGCCCTTTGAATAGGATGAGGGTCAATTCATTTTCGTCCTCGTTGTAATGAGGGGGTGGGTTATGCACGCTAGGAAGCTTCTCACTATAGTACAATGTTGTGAAGTTTGACACCTCCTCACGAATGAATGCCTCTGCTATGGAAGCCTCAATCCTGTCTTTGTTTCCACATTTCTGGCGAACAGTTTTTAGACATCTCTCGATTGGATAGCACCAACGGGTCTGCACGGCCCCCCCATTCGTACCTCGTTCGGGAGGTGCAAAATCAAATGCTGCATCAACAAGAAAAAGGCAGGTGGAAAGATCTTCTCCAACTTACAGAGCAACTCGGGTGCCGTTTTTTCCAACTCCTCAACCACTTTCAGAGATATCTCCTTGGCACAAAGCTGGCGGAAGAAAAAGCTCAGCTCTGCCAGCACATTCCAGACATGCTCAGGGACATAGCTGTAATGTCCCGCCTCCTCATGGTCAGGCCCGCTTACATCTGATAGCTTTCCTAGGACATAGACTGCCCTCACAGACCAACACCAGTCTTTTCTGCGCACTTTGTCCTCACTCATGCGCCCCCGGGAAGAACTTCCCGGTCGGTCACCCATCGCTCCAGG